AGAGCATGGGTCTAGAAGTCAGGAAGCCTGTTCTACTTTACCTATGACCAGCCATGGAGGATCCTGGCTTAGATTTCTTTTTCTTTAAAAAAAAGTTTTTTTTAAAAATTGATTTCATAGAGGAAGGGCGAGGGAGAGAGAAGAGAGAGATGGAAACATCAATGATGAAAGAGAATCATTGATCAGCTGCCTCCTGCACACCCCCTACTGGGATTGAGCCTGCAACCCAGGCATGTGCCCCCTGATCAGGAATTGAAACGGTGACCTCTTGGTTCATGGGTTGATGCTCAACCACTGAGCCACACCAGGCGAGTTGGGCGTCAGCCACAATGGGGTGGTGGAGCAGGTGAGCAGGGGTGCCAGACCAAGGCGGGTGCTGGCTGCTGTCATCAGGGCGAACCTCTGGTGATTACTGAAAATTGGTCTGAGTGGTAGCTGCTGGCCCTGATTGCCCCTCAGAACTTCTCCACTTCCCCCTGCTCCTGAGGGGCCATTGGGGCAGCACCCACTGCTGGTGCCAGCTCCAATCACTCTGCACTGTCAGTGGGCGCCCTCAGCAGCAGGAGTGGGGCTGTTGGCAGACAGGGGATGGGGCAGGGGGGGGGGGGCACGATGGGAGGGGCTGGGCAAGGGTGCAGAGGATGGGCCAAGACCTGTGCCCACCGTTCCTCTCAAGGTGCACGAATTCGTGCACTGGGCCCCTAGTGTGTTATAAGCTGGAACATAGACCAAAGGAATATGTTCCAAGCTGGAACTGTCAATTTGGGTGCCATCAACATATTAGGAGCCAGAGACTGGGCTCACCCATTGAGTGAGAGAATATATCAGCTATCTATTACTGTGTAACAAACCACTCCTAATCTTAGTGCCTAAAAATGATGATTTATTATGTTTCATGTTTCTATAAACTGGCTGGATAGATCTTCTGGTTTCACCTGGCTCACATGTATGGCTGCATGCTAAACACTGAGTTGGAGGGTCCAAGATGGTCCCACTTACATGTCTGGTATTTGGTGCCAACTGTCAGCAGGCGGCTGGGCTCAGCTGGAACATCTGGAACACTCGGACCTCTCTCCATATGGCCTTTCATCTGGGCTTCTTTACGGATGACGGTCTCAGAGGAACATTCTAAGTGGGCAGTCCCAAGTCACAGGGCTTAGCAAGCACATTTGCTAATATCTCATTCTCCAGACTCAAAGTCAACGTGGATTGCCTTATCAGGAAGCATGATTCTCCAGCAGCTATTACTGCAAAAATATGCTTCAAAAAAGGAACACCAGGTGGGCTTCCACTCGTTTTAGGCTTGGGCAGAGAAGAAACTAAAGGTGGAAACCCAGAATACCAGAGAGGAGTGCAGTGCTAAGGAATCCAGAGACAGGTGAATTCCACCGGGAAAGTGCCAAGCCGGCACTTGCATGACCTTGAAAGTGAACGTCTCACCCTAGTCCCAGGGTGAAACTATCCTCTGGATTTAGTAACCCAGAGGCCCATTTCTTTAACTTTCAACATTAATTTCAGTAGTCTGTTTTACAAAAACCTTAAGCACCTATTCAAATACAAAAGCAATTGCACAAGTTGATCAAAGTGACCTAAATTTGTAAACTTTATGCTAGTCTGGCTTGATTAAATGGAAAGCCCACAGTGTTTTCAAATGTTTTTGACCAGGACCCACAGTAAAGAATACCTTTTTTTTTTTTTTTTTTTTTTTTTCCAAAATGAAAACAACATTATTGCAAAATTTAGGACACAATAGACTTCACAGAACAACCAAAATAAGACGATCCCAAGACACTGGAGTGTGACGTAGCAGCTGACAGATTAGTACTCCTCACCCTCATCCTCTCCCTCAATACTATCTGCTCCAACCTCCTCATAATTCTTCTCTAGGGCAGCCATGTCCTCATAGGCCTCAGAAAACTCTCCTTCCTCCCTGCTCTCACTCACGTACCAGTGGACAAAGGCATGCTTGGCATACATCAGGTCAAACTTGTGGTCCAGGCGAGCCCAGGCCTCAGCAATAGCTGTGGTGTTGCTTAGCATGCACCCAGCTCACTGGACTTTAGCCAGGTCTCCACCAGGGACCACAGTGGGAGGCTGGTAATGAATGCCAACTTGGAAACCAATGGGGCACCAGTCCACAAACTGGATGCTGCACTTGGTCTTGATGGTGGCAATGGCAGCATTGACATCTTTGGGGACCACATCACTATGGTACAAAAGGCAGAAAGCCATGTATTTACCATGACGAGGGTCACATTTCACCATCTGGTTGGCTGGCACAAAGCACACATTGGTGATTTCTGCTACAGTAAGCTGCTCATGGTAGGTTTTCTCAGCAGAGATGACAGGGGCATATGTGGCCAGAGGGAAGTGGATGTGGGGATAGGGTACCAGGTTGGTCTGGAATTCAGTCAGATCAACATTCAGGCCCCATCAAACCTGAGGGATGCAGTGATGAAGGGCACAATCTGGCTAATAAGGCGGTTGAGGTTAGTGTAGGTTGGGCGCCCAATATGGAGGTTCCTACGACAGATGTCATTCATAGATGGCCTCGTTGTCAACCATGAAGGCACAATCAGAGTGCTCCAGGGTGGTGTGGGTGGTGAGGATGGAGTTGTAGGCCTCAACTATAGCTGTGGATACCTGAAGGGGTGTGGGGGTGAGTAAATGGAGATCTCCAGCTTGGACTTCTTGCCATAATCAACAGAGAGACGTTCCATCAGCAGGGAGATGAACCCGGAACCAGTTCTCCCACCAAAGCTGTGGAAAAACCAAGAAGCCCTGAAGGCCCGTGCACTGGTCAGCCAGTTTCCGAACTCAGTCCAGGACGAGATCAATGATCTCCTTGCCAATGGTGTAGTGTCCACAGGCATGGTTATTGGCAGCATCTTCCTTGCCTGTGATCAGCTGCTCAGGGTGGAAGAGCTGGCGGTAGGGACCAGTGCAAACTTCATCAATGACTGTGGGTTCCAGGTCTACACACACTGCCCTGGGCACATGCTTAGCAGTGTCTGTCTCACTGAAGAAGGTGTTGAGGGAGTCATCTCCCCCGCCAATGGTCTTTTCACTTGGCATCTGGCCATTGGGCTGGATGCCGTGTTCCAGGCAGGAGAGCTCCCAGCAGGCACTGTCGATCTGGACACCTGGCCAACATGGATGGAGATTGCACTTAGGCATAGCTGAGACTTGAAGGGCTCAGAGGGGCTGAAAAATGTGAGAACCTCCCACTGACAGATTACCAAGGAATCAGGGGAGAAGATCCAGTGCACAGACACACACACATGCATATGTGCACACATGTACACACTCAGCCAAAGGAAAGTGTTTTGAAACATAGAACAGATAATGGTAACTTTACTATGTGCAAAGCTCTGTGCCATTCTTTAATTATTTCTTTTTCATTGAATTCATACACTGCTAAATTAACTTTACCATGCACTCAGGGGTCATGGCCTACAGGTTTCTGCCATCCAGAGCAGAAGTCAGAAAACTGGTTGATTCCTGCCTTGAGCCTTGTTTAGTTTCACCTGTTGGCTATTGACTTAAAATTTGAATTTTATGCCTTCAGGCTGGTCTTCTTTCCCCTGTACCATTTCTGACTGATAGCCAACTGCTTCGCGCACATTTATGTTCCTTGATTGGCCCCTGCGTGCCTTCTAGACTCCAAAGGGATAGATGTATGCATTTATTCCATAAATATTGAATTCGTGTCTCGCACATGCCAGTCATCTTGCAGGCACTGGGAATACCGCAAGGATCAGACCAAAACCACTGCCTTCATGGAGTTGAGATTCTAGAACAGGGAGACAGGAAAACAAAAGTAAGAAGCAAACATATTCTTTATTAGAGGGTAATAAATTATCTAATGATGATAAGACAGGAAGGGGTCCAGCAAGCTCTGAGATCAGCATGCAGGCTTTACACCTTTTTGTGGAAATAGGGAGCCTAATATGCTTCTACCTCACAGAGAAGGGCCGAGAGTGTGAAAGAGTACAACCACAACTTCCCTCAAAAAAGAGAGTTGCCTATCACACCATCACATTACTCTGCCAAATGGCAAAGCACCGGTAATTTAACTTGGAACATTTTAAAATCCATTAACGGCCAGCCATGAAGGGGAACCACTGAGGGTTATGGTCACTGGCACACTGGCCCTGAGGTGGGAAGGAAGCCTTTCTAATGTATTTCAGACTTTGCCCCAATGCAACCTGCTGAGGGACGTTCCTGTCAGCCCCTCTCCCGCGGGATAAATGGCTCCCTCATTAGCTCTGCACACATAACCCCTCTCGACCGGACTCCCGGTGACTAGGCCTGCCTTATCTTTGCCTCTCCTCCCTCCCATTTTCCGCTCCAACAAAGCCAAACACAGCACCGTGGAGGCTTTCACGCTTCTGTGCCTTTGGACACGCTGTTCCATTTGCCTGGAAGGCCCCTGGCTTCCATCCCCGCAAGCCCCCGCTCCCAACTCCATCTCCTTCCTCCTAGGCGAGCTTCCATTCATCCTTCAGAACCCAGCCTGGATGTCCCTCCTCCTCCAAAAACAACCAAAAACAACCCTTTACACCCCTCAGCCCCATCTGTGTCCCCAGCACCCATCTCTGTTTTGCTTCTCTGCACTGTAATGATTGGTCTTTCCAAAATTTCTCCCCTCCCAGACAAGGGCCTCCTCCAGCGCTGCAGCAGCGTTGGCTACTCGCTTTGACCCCAGAGCGCCCAGTTCAAGCGCAGAGAGGCAGAGCTTGCACTTAGAGGCTCATGTTGGCTCGAAAGCCCCCGTGTGTGCCCTCCGCCTCCCCGGCAGTCCCGGGGGATAGAGCACTCGTGCATATTTCCCCTTAACACCGGCCAACCCCCGGCGAGGCCGCCCGGCCCCTGACATCAGCGGCGGGCAGCGCCGGGCAGCGCGCGACTACAAGTCCCGGCACGCCCCGCGCGACCGCGCATGCCCAGCGGGCCGGCGTTTGAGTGGCAAGTTGTTTGTTACAGCGAACACCAGCTGCTCCCCGCGCCGGGCGCCGCGCGCCGCCGCTCCGCCAGCGCTGCCGCCCTCGCCCGCCGCCCGCCGCCCCGGCCCCTCGCGGCTTGGCGGGCCTGTCCTTTGTCCGCCCGCCGCCGGGCTCCTGGTCCCGGGCCGGCTGCCCGCGGCGCTCGGTGCCGGCGGGGCGCGCAGGGGGCGGGGGCCGCGGCTCGCCCCCCGCGGATGAGCCGCCGCGGAGAGCGCGGAGGAGTGCGGGCGGACGATGGAACTCCACATCCTGGAGCACCGGCTGCAAGTTGCCAGCGTCGCCAAGGAGAGTCTCCCGCTCTTCACCTACGGCCTCATCAAACTCGCCTTCCTGTCCTCCAAGACCAGGTGAGAGCGCGCGGGGACGCGGCGCCGGCCGGAGGGAGACAAAGAGGCGCAGCCGGGGCGGCTGTCCGCGCCGCCGCCGCTCGGAAAACAACTTCGAGCCCTGCGAGCACCCCCGCCCCGCCGCTAGCCTTGCGGGTGACAAAGCCACCCCATCTGCCCCCCTCCAACGGGGTCCTTCCACCTCGACTTCCCCCCTCCCCTCAGATGCACCCCCACCGCTGTCTCCCCCCCAATCTCAGCCCTCTCCCTCCCGACCCCTCCCCGAGATCCGAGGCTGCAGCGACGAGTCCCGGAATGAATGAGCGAACGAATGAATGAATGAAAAACAGGTGTGGGGACGCGGCCAGTGGGAAAAACAAACTACCGCCCCCCATCCCCCAACCCCTCGGTTGGGCCGGCCCCCGTCGCCAGGGCGGGCGGCGGGGAGGGATTGTGCCGAGCGCGGCTCCCCAGAGCAGAAAAATCATAAAATCATTTAAGTGGGTGTTTTATCTCAAGGTGCTGCAGGGGTTGCTGAGGGCGCGGGGAGGGGGAAGGGGGACGCTGGGAGAAGGCAAGAGGGGGGACGCGGGTGACGGTCGCGGTGGATCTTAATCCTTGGGGTCCGGGAGGTGGGAGGGGGTGTTTTGCCGAACCGTGGAAGGGGGAGGGAGGAGCAGGCATGTTTATGGCTCTGCCTTGAGGCTGGGCTTGGATGCTGCAGGGGGAAAAATAGTTGAAGGCCTTGGGAGGCTGCAAAAAAAAAAAAAAAAGAAACAAGTTGGATTTTCCCAATGCCAGGTCAGGTCTGACTTTGTGAGCCCCCGTGGGTGCTTGGATTAGGGTGGGTTTTTTTGTGTGTTTTTTTAAGGAGCCCGAGCCCCAGTGGAGTGCGAGCCTCTGTAACTTAAATCTCTTGTTTGCCAACCATTGTGACTATTCAAAGGGATGAAGTTGTTGCTGCTTGGGATTTTTTTTTTTTTTTTTTTTTTTTTTTTCAGAGGCTGAGGCGGAGGTGGTGCTCCCTCCCTGCAAAAATGAATGAATGCATTACAGGTCAAGGTTAACGTTACAATGACAGACCCCTAAGCCGCCCCCTGGGGCACCGAGCTCCGTGGGGCTCTGGGGTTGCAGGGGAAATCATTCAGTCGAGCCTCTTATCTCCCTGGTAAAGTTCTCGCCTGGAAATCTCACTTTAATGTGTGTGTCTGAGCCGGGAGCTCAGTCCCGCCATTGTTTGCGAGATGGAAGGTCTATCTGCCAGTGGCATCTTGTTTACTTTCTTCTCCGGCTGCTCGATGGGGTATGGAGGGTTGAAATTTTTTTTTTTTTTTTCCTTTGCTGGGCCCTAGTTCCTTTGATTGCAAAGGTAATTATTAAACAGGTCATTTGAAAACAAAAGTCCACAGCTCAGATTCTGAATCTCCCCTTCCACCCCCATCCCCTCTGGCTGCTGACACCTACCATCCTGCATCTACCTGCCCTCTGCCCCCCACCCCCACCCCCTACCCTGCCTCGAATTCCGAGGCTGGAGTAAGAGAAAGCCGCCTTGTTTTTCCAACCCTTGGCCCTCAGCCCCAGGCAGCCCCCTGGCTGATTTCTCGGCTCCCATTCAAACTGGGCTGATGACTCAGGCTGCGGTTGTGCAGGGCCTGGGTGCCAGGAGGAGGGGGCATTGGAGGGCTTATTAGAAAGGCCAGGAAAGAGCTGCTGCCCCTTTCCTTTTGTAGAGGGACGGGCTCTTTTCCAGCCCCACCCCAGGGCCCGCTTTGGAGGACTCGGAGATAGGCAAGCCCCGGGGGTGAGCCCCTGCCAACCTAACCATGGAAAACCTACCCCTCAGCAGGTCCTATTTCTCCCTCTCTGCAGGGGCAGCTGGTCCAAGGCCCAGGTGACCAGCTCAGTCTCAAGATGACTCAGAGGTCAAAGGTCATCTCTGTGTCTCCATCCAGGGTCTGACTCCGAGAGGTGTCAAGTTCATTTGTCAAATGGCTGAAAGCTGCCCTGCTGGTGCTCCTGGCCAGGACACTGGCTTCAGGTTGTTGTCAGCACCTTCCTTGCCTGCATGGAGGAGAGAGACAAGGTCCCATTCCTTCTCTGGTTCTCACTTTGTTCGTCTGTAATGACGGCAGCAGCACTCGGCCCAACAGTTTTCAGAGAGCTTCTGTGTATGTGTGGTATGGCGTGATGGTGGAAGTTGGCCTTTTAAGCAAGTGTAAGGTGGAGTGGAGTGTGGATATATTGTTTAAGCTGTTCTCAATCATTGGTCATCCAGGTAGAATTTTCGGTCCTCTTTGATTTTTTTTCATCAGTACCTACTGCCAAGTGCTGGCCCATAGCCCTGACATTTTCCCCATCCCACCCCCAACCTAAGTTCACCCCAAACTAGTACTGTATCCTCCCGCCCTCCTCCTGCCCCCTCAGGGTCTCTGTGCTGCCTGTTTACAAGTTTTCAATCACTCCCTTATAGGGTCGACTCCTTCCTCTGGCATTCGAGGCTGTTCCAGATCTGGATCTAGAATCCTCTTTAACCAATCCTCTCTGGCAAGCACTCTGGTGACTCACAGTTTACTCTGTCCTTCCCTTCACACCTCTGTGCTTTCGTACTTCCAGCTCTGTCTGGAACAGTAAATTCCTACTCAGTCCTCAAGATCTAGTGAAAGCACTTTGGAACTTTCCTGAAACCCCCTTCCCTCCACCCTCAGCACACTTAGTCATTGCCTCCCGCTGGTGCCTACCTGCGTGGAGGCTTGGGGAGAAATACGGCCTTGCTAGGTACCCACTCTGTGTGGGGGTGAAGCTGGAGCCAGGAGGTGCTGAAGTACCCCACCCCTCCCTCTTGGAATCCCGGAGCCTGGTGGGAGAGAAAAACAGAAGTGATCACAATACAGCGGGTGGAACCAGGGAAGGGGGAGGGTATTAGGGTAAGGGGTGTTGAGGGACTGCCCGGGGGAGGCATGTAGGCTTTCCTACAGGAGGTAACACTGGATCTTGGGACTTTAAAATGGGAATTGTTAGCTAGGTAGGAAAGGGGATCCTGGTCCCAGGTGCTGAATATACCCTGGTTCAACTCTGTGAATTAGGCTTTACTCACCTGTTATACAAAGTACTCTGAGGCTCACAGGTTCAATGATTCGCTCAAGGTCACACAGTAAGTGGTAGAGCCAGGACTTGAACCTGCATCTTTCTGACTTAAGCTGGGAGGCTTGCTATTACAGCATGCAAATGATGTCCATACACACACAGTTACATCCAGCCCTCCTGTTTGCGGTGTGCTGTTCCCAAGGCTTTAGAAGCACAGAGTGGCACCTGCAGGCTTTCTGTATCCCACCTAACCCACCTTTGTGGGCCTTGTCTTAGAGCAGCAATGTTTGTCCCTCATCACCGCTCGTCTAGATTTTCTAATTCCTGATAGCCCAGCTCAGATGCTCCCTCTGCTTAAACTTTAATCACTTCTCAACTTTTGTCCATAAGAGCATGTTAGTTACTTGTCTTATTCTCCCACCTAGATTATAAACTTTATGCCCAAGAAGGGTGTTTTATTTTGGGCATTTTTTTACATCCCCCCCCCCCCCCCCCCAGTACCAGATATAATAGAGCCACCATTGACTTTACCGTCTATCACAAACAGGTAAAGGCACTGGGTTTGGAGAAGTAAAGTGCCTTGCTCAAGGTCAGACCCCTGGAAAGAAACAGAATTGGGATTTGAACCAGGTCCTCTTTCCACTGTGCTTAGCACACTGCTTTGTAGGCACTTAGTAACTGCCTGTTTGATGGATGTCCCACTCGTGCACAGAGTGACCCAGATTTCAGCCAGAGTCTCTTACCAGTGCCCTGGGGGTTGGGAGAAGCATGGCAGACAGAGTCACACCTAGAGAAAGAAGCAAGCCCCTGCCCCAGCTCTTTGCCCCAACTCAGGACAGCACCTGGGTGTGATCAGAATAGGGGGCAGAGGCCAGCTAAGAGCACTTATTCTAGGCACAAAGCTGGATGGCAAGATCCTGGGTGGGCAAGATCAAGGTTGTCCACAGAGCTTCTCCTCCATCCTTGTGATCCCCTGCAGCCCAGTCCACCTTTCTCTCCAGCCTCATCTCTCATGGCTTCCAGCCATGCAGACCCACACACCCTACGGTGTCTCATGTCCTTTTCTGTCTGCTTGGAATGTGACTCTTTGCCTTACCACCTTTGTCACTTGTTCATTCTTTTAGATTCAGTTTTAGCCCCACCACCTCCAGGAAGTCCTCCCTGAGTGCACAGCTGAGCTCAGGCTCTTCAAGCTCTGGCATAATGGGCTTAATCTCAAGATGAAATGTGACCCACTGTAGAATTATCAGCAGGATGCCTTGGGCTGCAAACAACAAAAAGCCATTACTTAGCTGTCCTTGACAATAAGAAGTTTGACCTTTGCATGATAGGTTATAAGTCAGGCTGCTCTAGGTAACTTGAAGGCTTGATGATGTCATCAAGGACTCAGGTCTTCCTGTCTTTCTCTTTGGCTATTCGTGGCTTGACAGTGTGGCTCCCTGTAGAACAGCCAGGGCAACCCCAGGCCTGTGGGCAGTCGGGAGAAAACCCAATGGAGTGAAAGGGCTGTTGGTCAGGAGGTGTCTCTGAGAAAATCTTTCCAGGAACATGCCCTGCTCCTGCACAGACTTCCTCATCTCACTGATCAGACTGGGTCACATGAGCATTCCTGCACCAATCACATGCACAGGCAGTGAGACCATCGCAGACAGTAAGGACCACCACTGCAGCTGGGGCTTTTGGCCACCTGGAGGTGGAGGCTAGTGCCATTCTTCTGGGACTCAGATTTGTTCTCTTCAACACGGTAAGGCAGGGGTGGGGAATGTTCAGCCCGAAGGCCATCATTTGGTCTGGCTCCGATGAGGCATTAGGGGTGAGTTAATTTAAAGTGTTTGGCCAAATATAACAGGCCAATTAAAAATATTTTTTTTTTTTTATTGATTTCAGAGAGAGAAACATCAGTAATGAGAGAGAATCATTGACTGGCTGTCTCTTGC